CCTTGGGGAGACGGGGGGGCTCTGCTGCGCAGGCACCCGCGTCTCCCCCGATGCTGGCCATGGGAACAGCACGCCCTGGACTTCACGGACAGCGAGATAATCACTCCGGCAAAGTCAGGGAGCGGAGGAGGGCAATGTAAAATGAGCACAGCGGTGGCTGCAGGAGCTCCCAGTTTGGGGGTACGGCCCAGGGAGCCCCCCAGGGTACTGTCAGGCTGGGGCAGGGCACGTGCCGAGCACCAGCAGCGTCCCACAGAGCCGCGCATGGGGAGACAGGCGCGCGGGGAAGGAGAGGTACAGCCCCTGTGATCCTACAGCCCCGGGCGGGATTTTCCCTGCAAGGAACCCCCTGCACCACAGCTAACACGCTGCCAATACTGCTCGGGTTTGTGACATCATACATGACGTTTGGGGGCTGTATTTTGAAGACATTGACCACTACGCTATCCTTCCTGCCGAGGCACCGCATTCATTTGGGAAATGAATGCTCAGAGAACATTTTCCTTTATTCCTACAGCCCCGGGCGGGATTTTCCCTGCAAGGAACCCCCTGCACCACAGCTAACACGCTGCCAATACTGCTCGGGTTTGTGACATCATACATGACGTTTGGGGGCTGTATTTTGAAGACATTGACCACTACGCTATCCTTCCTGCCGAGGCACCGCATTCATTTGGGAAATGAATGCTCAGAGAACATTTTCCTTTATGGACACTGGAGCCCAAATCCTCCGTGCTCTGATTACTGTGTAAGCTTTCAAACCACTCAGCAGGATTTTAAAATGTAAGGAAAAGTTTTAGATGCTTTAAAAAGGAAGTAGTGAATATTTGTAAACTACAGCCAAACATATAAAACAGTATTTCTTTAGTTCTAGCTAGAAAAGTAATTCTATCACCTCACAGTTCAGTTTCAGCTACATTCAGGTCTAGGAATTTCCACATTCTTATGTAATGCCTTAAAGCAGCAATAGACGTTAAACAACATAATTAAAAGTTTATCAAAAAAGTCTTAAAATAAAAAAAGATTTGGTTTCTGTAATCCTGCATGTTCAGTGTATGTAACCTGACCAGGGTCCCTTACACCTGCTGCTACAGTTTGGGGATTTTTGGCAGTTGCTTCAAGAGAGGTTTTGTTTGTTTAGGAAAAGCAATAATTTGCTGTAGTTCAAGTATGTCTGCAGCACCCCGGCAGCTGCCTCTACACTTACTGTTCAGCAAGTTGTGACTTTCCAGCTCTAGGCTAAAACGGAATATTTAATGCTCTGTAGGAGACTTTTCATCTCATCGGTTATGCATAGAGCTTCCTGCGCTGGGTAATTAAAGCTCTTTTTGTCCATCATTTTCTACGTATCACTGCCGTTAGTCCCTTTAAAGAAAAGTTACCCTGCCAGGTTCTTTGGTTAAAGACATTTCCTCAGCTCTCCCTGCGGGGCCAGGCTGCCTTCCCGCAGCACGTGGCCGGGGGGGGAGGGTGCCGTGGCAGAGTCCGGCGGCCGTGCCCGTCCCTCTCCCGCCATGGCAGCGGAGCTGTGCATCTTTACCAGAGAGACGAGGGACGCTCGGCTTGCTATTCACAGGCAAAGTAATCCTTGAGCGGGGAAAAGAGGTGCTGGATGACGGGGACGCTCCACGATCTCCCCAGCAGCTTCTGGCGAGCCCCGCGGCTGATGTTGGAGACGTCTGTGTAGTGGAGGGGGAAGCCGAAGATCCTGCAGAGCGGAGGCAGAAGAGAAGTGGGTGAGGCTTGGCGGCTGCTCTGCTCCCCCAGCACCCACCGGCCGTCGCCAGGGCGCAGTGTCCCTCTGCCCTGGGCTCCCTCAAGCCCCAGCCTGTGTTTTACAGCCTCGCTCGGCAGAAGCTTCTCACCGCTAACAGCCAGTGCTCCCCGCCAGCTCGATTTTCTTTCCCAGAGCAGCAGCAAGCAAAGGCATATCGCTTTCCACCCAAAGCCCTCAAAGCATTCACCAAAGGTGACGCAGTCGTTCCTGCTCTGCCCAGAGCCAGCGGCAGACTCGCTCCAGGGCAGTGGCAGGTGATGGCAGCAGAGCAGTGCCCGCATCTCCCACGGCCCCGCTCCTGCAGACCCAGGCAGCCCGACAAATCATCCCACGCGTGCCTGTGCGAGCTTTTCTGCCCCATACGACTTAACCCACTTGTGGATGGGAATAAAGTGCCCAGACCCAGCTGTGGACTCGGGACGTGACCCGTCCAGGGGAGTCAAGCCAGGAATGAAGGAGCCCCCGCGCTGCACCTGCTGGCTCGTGGAAATCTATATGTGGCAAGTATGTGCACGCGCCTCCCGCCCCAAACATGCCTGCAGGCAGAGAACGGCGAGCTGTCCTGGCTCCGGAGGCTCACAGCACCGATGCATTTACAGACACTGAGGGCAGCCAAAATTAAAATCACCAGCCATGTTAAAATTTTCTATTATGGCTCTGGAGTGCACTAAGCTGCTAAGTTGCACTGATGCGTGCTGTACTGAAACACCGGAGCCCCTGGGTGAGCCAAGAGATGCTGATGTACACCCTGATAAGTTGACAGGAAAGCAGCAAGCCTGGACGGTCACTAAAATCTCAGGTTTTGAGTCTTAGTGAAATTAAGAGACAATATCTCACAGCCAGGACGCAGTACAGTACGGGGCTCTTGTCTTACCAATGTGTGCCGACGCGTAGCCCGTCAGGTGAAACACAGCAAGTGTGCCATGCTTTCCTGAAGTACGGTACGGTGTTCATCCCACAATGGCCTCTCCTACAGCCACCACAGCTT